CCTAGTGGCATTAGGGTACTTTTAATATAATATATATATATATATATATATATATAAAATGACCATAAATTTCTAATATGAGTTTAAATAATTTTTTGGTATTTAAGTATTAAATATTATTTTTCTAAAAGAGTATTTGTATTTTCCCAATTTCTCTAGAATTTTCTATGATTTAAAAATACGTTATTATATTATTTTAATAGTTTTGCTAATTATAAATTTAATTGTTTCGGTAAAATTTTTAAATTAATAGTTAATTATTCATTATTGTTATTGTTACTATTACTTTGATCAGAAATTTTTAATATTTATTTGAATAAATTTTCTGATATTTTAAATTATTTAAAAGGGTATTTTTACTGTGTTTTTCTCTGCGGTATTTCACTCTGTATCTCTCTCTCTCTCCCTTACCTCACTTACCTAAATCACTCCTCAATTCCCGCACCCATCACTTCTCTGTCCCCCTCTCCTTCTCTCTCTTCTATTATTTCTCTCTCTGACACTCTCTCTCATTTCTCTCTCTCTCTCACTCAGTTCTCACTCTCTCTCTCTCACTCACGTCTCTTCTCTCTCGCTCTTCTCTCTCTATCTCTCGTTCTCATCTCACTCCAGCCCCTCTCTCTCTCTCCGCCTGAGTTCACCGTCGCTCGCCGCTGCTCCAAGCCCGCCGCCGTGAGCTCCGCCACCAGCTCTCCCCTCCGCCACCAACCCCGCTCGACGACAGCCACCCACGCCGCTCCGCCCCGACGACACGCCCAAAAACCCGCCGCGCCCACTCTAGCTCCTCCTCCTACAGTCGCAGGCACGACAACATCTTCTCTTTCTACTCCGGCCAGCCTTACACGCCTGCGCAAGCAAAACTCCACGCCCGCCAACAGATAGCTTCGCGTCCGCCCAAACCGAGCCGTCGACCACCTGAGCACCGCGCGCCCTCTCTCTCGTTCTCTCCTCTCTAAGCCGCCGGCTAACCCCTATCAGCCACCTCCCCTGTGCAGCCATCAAACAACCCGCCTCCAGCCAAGCTCCTCTCTCGACAACCATGCTTCAGATCCGACGCCTCACGCAGCCCTCGCCAGCGCCGCTGACCAGCCCCGCCGCTCGCCGAGTTCATTACCCAAACCGCCTCGACAGCCTGCAGCGCCTCCAGAGCTCGACACACCGCCTGAGCCGCCATCGCCCTCACAGACACCCCCGTTTGCCTCCCTCGACCCAACTGCCCTCAGATCGCAACCCCGCTGTCTGAACGTCGCAGTCAGCCCCGACCCGAGCTCGCGCTACCGACGCCGACCGAGTTCGTCGCCGCGCTCGACCGCGTTCAGATCCGATCAGATTCGCCCACCTTAGTGTCGTCGCACGCCACCTGTTTGATCATATGCCAACGTATATCCAGCTTGGAGAACCGCCACTTTCTAGCCGCCTGCGAGCTGTCGGAGCCCCGAGACATACCAACGACACCCGAGGCAAGATCCCTCTTGCTCAGATCTGAATGTTATACCTGTTATAAGTTAATTGCATAGTTTATTTACGATATATTTATCTGCGTGGGTTGTTGATGAATAATATTAGATAGATCATGATAATCTGATAGATAACGTTCTCAGAATAATTATAATATTAAAAGAAGTTATTTCGGTATTAGAATTATTTTGAGATAATTATGCTAATTTAAAAAGAATTTATTTTGAGAACGGAATCATTTTAGATAATTATAATACTTTAAAAGAAGCTATCTTGGAAGAAGAATATTTTAGAATAATTATAAATAAATTAAAGTAATTTATTTTGAAAATGGAATTATTTTAGATTAATTTTAATTAGAAAAGAAATTATTTTGTAAGAGGAAATATTAAAAAGAATGTTTTTAGAATTATTTAAAAGGAGTTACTTTGGAAAATGGAATTATTTTGGGTAATTATAATAAGAAATAAAAGATTTATTTTGGATAAGGAAATCATTTTGAAGTAGATAAATTTATTAATTTAAAGGATTATTTTTGAATGTGTGATTCTCATTTTAATTATGTGATATGCCATGATATCGTTGCGCATGATTGGTTGTACTTATTGTTTCCTATTGTGTTTGAGAACCCCTAGCAGTTCATGACTTAGTGGCCCCGTGCGTCATGAACAGACTTAGTGACATGTGTGTGTTGACTGAATTTAGGTGGTGAACCCGAGTTTTAATGAAGATTATGATTGATTTAGAAAAACGAGAAGAGTTGGGATGGGAAAGTTAATGTTCATGTGCTTGGATGTGACTGTTGATGTATCTTCCAGCCCACACCGGTGAATTCGTGTAGTCACTGGGGTTGGTTTGTTGGTCTAAAGTGAATTCGTGTAGTCACTTTAGTCCGTGACTTGTTTCGTCACCTGAGCTTTGCCTGAGTTCGGACCAGGCTGAGATCGGATTGCGTGTAGTCCTCTGACCGATTCGTGTAGCGGTATTGGATGCGCGTAGAGGATTTGTGAACAGTCAGTTATCTGGTAATATGAGCGTTGACTCTGTGTGAGATGTTCGTTTCTTGGCTAGGTATGACTTCTTGTGAGATGTAGGCCGGTTGTATTTCTTTTCATACATAGATCGGGATTAATATTTAATTATCTATAATTTGAGACAGATGGTATATACATGAGGGTTTCCTTGTTTGAATTATTTCGCTCGACGTACTACGTCTCTTGTTGTGGATTTTTAAGTATTAATTCTATCTAGTTGTATGACCTGGTTAGTTGGATGATTGTTCTGATCGCTAGTTGCATGATCGACTTGTTATTTGATTGATTTTGTTGGATTTCCAGTTGCACGTTCTTTTGTCATTTCTGTTATCGTATCGTTTTCCGCTTGGGTTTTCATTCGTTCTTTTCTTTTGTGGGGTCTTACCGTGTGCCATGCGCCCTGACGTACACTTGTTTTCTCTGGTGTACGTCAGACTTAGAGGAAGTACAGGTCCATCTTAGAGATATGCCAGAGCCAGGATATTCTTAGTAGGAGTGCCCTGCAGACAGAGTAGAAGAAGCCGAAGCTTAGTTATTGGTCCTCATTTTTCCTTTGTGCTACCTTCCATTTCCATTTGGTCAGTGTATTTTATATTCTTCAGTATTTCATTCAGATAATTTTGTATAAGGGTATGTTTGACCCGTATTATTATGTCTGGATGATATCTCATTTGTGATATGATATTTTTTGTATAAGGGTATGTTTGACCCGTATTATTATGTCTGGATGATATCTCATTTGTGATATGATATTTTTTATTCTGAGTTTGTCTATTATATTCTTGCTCTTGCTGATTGTGATCGGGGACCTGTGACTTCACATTGTATTTATTTCCAGACGCTTAGCGTATTGGATCGAGAAGAAAAAAAAGGAAAAAAAAAATAATAGTGTATATTTTTTCTCAATCTAATACGTCGCGGGCTTGTTCACGTTCCGATTCCCGGGTATTTTGGGAAGCGGGGCGTGACAATAACTCGATGTGTCTTAGGATTCTGTTGACAGAGAGCCAACCACCGATGATGATGCTTACAAGATTACATTCAAACACTAAGAGAGTTGCTAGTGGTCTAGTTTAAAAGTATACACACGCGCGCGCACGCGCACACACATATATATACATATGTATAAATACATATATATATACACATATATATATATATATATATATATATATAATATAGTTATAAGTATACTTATATGTGTATATTAAATAATTACAGTTATATAAGTATATATAAGTGCATAAGTATAAGTATAATGTATATACTGTATATTGCATCTAGTATATATAAAAGTATATCATATAAGTAAATTGTATAACTATACTTAAATAAGTATAATATAATTTAATTCATTTGGGATGTATTCTCGGGATGTATTCATCTATTGTGATGTGACAAATTCTAAAATAAATTTATAATTGTAGATGATTAATTGATTATTAATAAAGAAGGTATTTTATTATTTTAATTTCTATATTTTTTTGTATTTGTAAATTATATAATTACAAGTGATTAATAATAAAATTATTTTTATCAAATAAAAATTATTTTTTTGCTTTGTATTCTTGAAAAAAAATTAAAAAAAATTAAAAAAAATTTAAAAAAAGCTCAGCCAGTGCCAACCGGATCTGGACCCTGGTTTTGGCTTGGTATTTTTTTGGGCCGGACCGTTTGAACAGGCCTAATTGTTACTATAGTAATCGGTTTATCCTTCGACTGATCTAGCGACAAAATACCTTCAGAATACGAAAGATAACTCTATAGTCCTTTCATTTTGGGATGCTAGAAATCTCAATTATCGACAATAATTTAAAAAAAATTAAGATCCGACCCAAATAAGATAATTAGAACATCTTGCTATCATACGGAATGTTACTATACTAACCGCAGTCGACTGATATTATCTGCCAAGGTAAAATAAAAATAAAAATATATATAAAAGAAGAAAATCGATAGACACTCTACAGTCTACAACTTAATTAACAAATAATCAAACTCCTCCACGTCAAGCTTGTGGACCTTTGCATTTCCCCATCCTCATTCTTCTCTTGACAGCTGTCATCCACGTAACCATCAACACAAACTTTACATTTCCCTCTCCCCAAAAACCAATGTATTATTAGTTATTAGCAAAAAAAAATAGGCAACAATTCCCCAGGTCACAAATTGCCCTAATCAACTAAATTACAGCTGTGCCACCTCACACTATAGCCCACAGAGGCCAGGGAGCTTGCACCTCTTCCATATAAAAAAAACACCGCATCTATTATTTCCCAATTAACAGTAAAAACAATAGCTAATTATAATTAATTACAGTAATAAATCATCTCATCGACTCTGACTCTTTGGTCCTCATTAGGCAACTCAACAGACCACCGTCGCCTCGTTTGACGCCTGTCTCCACGTGTTCCTTTCCCCTTCTTTCTCTTTATTTAAAAAAAATCAAAAAAGAATAAAAAAGGCAATTATTATTTTTATTTTTATATTTTCTAAAAGTGGTAGCTCTCTCTCTCAATCCAAGCTCGCTTTATATTCGCTCTCTTTAATCCTTCTCTTCAAGAATTGAGATCAACTGAGCAAAAATTTTTCAAGATGTTGAAGGAGAAAGAGAGAGAGAAGGAGAAAAATTTCGTGGTGGGCTTCATCTGCAACTGGGCCGACATTAAATTTCTCTTAAGCTCTCTCCTCATCATCTGCGTCCTTGGCACAGCGTTTCAATTCATCCCCTACAAATCTTTCCTCTCTCCAAACGATCTCCGTTCTTGCCTCTCGAAGCTCTCAGCTCCGAACCCCCCTCAAAATCTCACGACCCAAGAACTCGCAAAACCCTCGAAACCCATCGAGTTCCAACAAGAAAACCAAACCTCAGATCTCATCACGAAGCGAGTGTTCAACTCGGTGGGGTCGGCCGCTTACCTCTTCATCCAAATGGGCGCTTATCGAGGCGGGCTCAACACTTTCGCGGTGGTGGGCCTCTGCTTCGAGCCCATCCAGTAACGTCTCTCGAAGCCCGAGTTCGTCTGGCGACGTGGTCCGCGCCCACAGCAACGCTCGCGGCCGTCACCGCCGTCTCGTACAAGATGCTCCCGATTGGCGGCTACGCCAGGCGTCTACACCGTCAGTCGTCGTCAACTGCCCTTCTCCGCTCGACCGTGGGATCACCCCCGAACCTAATACAGTAACCCAATCTTGTCCCTGACCAATTCTCGACACTGCATAAATCACTGTATTCAGTGACTAAAGTGGTCTCGGCGGTACATATCACGTCTGACGGCGACGGCGGCCAGCTCATCGTGCACGCCACCACCGGCGGCGGCGGCCGGCGCGCGACGCGGGACCGCAGCGAGGAGAAATTCGTCGCCGCTCGCATCGAAAACCCGGTCTCCGTCAACATCACCCAGTTCAACTTCGCCCCGCACAATTACGATTACTTGTAATGCGGGTCCTCGCTTACGAGGACCTGAGCCCTCAGCGTCAGTGTCAGAGAGTGCAGTGTCTGGGTATACGCAGCCTTCGGGCGGGAGGTCGCATTTCCGTGGATCCACAGGACGCCGGTGGGGTCGACTCGGAGGTGATGGAGGTGCTGAGGCCGTGGAATTGAGTAAGGGATCGTTGACGACTGCAGGACGTCAGGATCAGACGAAGCGGTTTCGGATGGGTACTACCACAACCAGTTCCTGGTGGTGAACGATTGCTTGCATAGGTATCGCTACGATGCGAAGTGGATGTTCTTCTTTGATGTGGATGAGTTCATCTACGTGGACCCGAGGACGAGGTTCGACGGCTTCATGGATTCGATGTCGGGGTTCACTCAGTTCACAATCGAGCAGACGACCATCTCGAGCAAGCTCTGTCTTGTTGGTGACGCTCCAAGAATTGGAAGGTGAGCTCGTCTTTGATTTCTTATGTTAAGTCTGATCGATTAGGATTATCTGTCTGATTTTTTTTTTCTGCTGTATTGTCGGTTTAAATTGGGATCTGATATGTTTGGAAAATGCGTCGCTGCTGGAGCTGGAGAGAAAAGAAGTAGATAACTGGGGCTTTTAACTTGTCACTGAATTATACATATAGCTTTGATTCCAGAGACTTAATTGGAAGGGGAATTGAATGGAGTAGTAATAATTCAGGCTTTTATTGTGCACTGGCTCTTGCTTTTGATTATTATATTTAATTCCATGTTATTAGATAGCAGAATTATTTAATTAAACCCCACCAGGCTACACGTTTAAGCTGAATTACCATTCTATAGCCCATATTTTGCGCTATGTCTACATTAGAAAACCACCGCCTAGTATTAACTATTTTATTCTTTAGGATAGGATGCCATCGGATCGCCTCCTCTCCCCTGTCCATTTCAATTGATTTGAATTGATTAGGACTGTAATAATAATTAATCCCTAAATGGGGTTTATTCTTCGGCACTCGGTTGTTCCTTTCTTCTGGATGCGTCGCCAGCATTTGATTACATATATATTACAGTCCTCTTTTAGGATTCCGTTAATGTCAGTTTGCTCGTTTAGGATCTTCTTTTATCGGTAAGTTCTAGTCACTGATCTCAAATTATGGCGTTAAGCGGTGGTTGTTCGAATGTGATTGGTGGTTTGCATGTATTATTTGCGCCAGTCTCTTTCTACTCTAATCACTATACCATTGCATGCTGACCAGTTTGTCCGGTACAAAACTCTTTTATCAGTCTGGAAAACTTTTATCTTTGATTATGATGGGTGACTAAGCGCATTCTATTTGGCTTTCTTCATCGAGATTGTTCCATCAATTATTTCCCTCGCAGTTACAATTAATGCTATATGCATGAAACAGCGATCGCCAATTCACTGTTCAATTTTAATTGATTTAACCCAATACTGATACCCTCTTAAAACTAATTTCCACAGGATGTGGGGTATTGAGAAATTAGTATACAAAGACATAAAACGAGGAATCAGAAGGGATCGAAAATACGCCATCCAACCCCGCAATGCTTTCTCTGTTGGGGTCCACCTCTCTCAGAACTTCGCCGGCAAAACCACCCACAAAACGGAGGGCAAAATCAAGTACTTCCACTACCACGGCACAATAGCCAACCGCAGGGAGCCATGCGTCGAATACGTCAACGCGACGAATTTAGTGTACGAAGGTACACCGTATTATCTGGACGATACTCTTCGAAGACTCGCGGGCTCTGTTAAGAAGTTCGAGCTGAAGAGCATCGGAAAGCGTTTGACGAGAACAACGCAATGAGGGATAGGATTCATTCTTTAGTACTTTTGGAAAATAATAATTTTCACTAGAATTTTTGGTTCCTTGTTATCCTTTTTATACATCTACTTGCTTGTGAGTCCTTGTGTATGGTGTCGGGGGATGTGTATAGCAAGCTGGTTTATTCAAATTTTATATGAACAAAGTTGAGAATTATTGTTAACTGGAAGAGTATGATGAAGGATTTTCTATTACTTTTTAAGATTTTTATTTATGTATGGATCATGAAGAGAGAATTTGACATTGGTTGTGGAAAGTCTAGTGCGTGTGATCGAGTACTTCGGATTGCGGCAGCATTTGCTGTATCCAGCGTCATGTACGAATTAGGATGGGAAATCTAGAAGAATTTAAGTTTACAAATCTTATTATGAACATTTATGGAGGGTTGTCTGTGATTATTGCTGTATTGGACCCGGATGCATGGTTCAGACAGACCCGACCCGAACGAGGGTAATTGCGGATCCTTAGCTGACTGGGCGGTGGGCACTGGCTCAGTCTGAACCGAATTAATATACACTGGAACAGCCGTTTACTCTAGTTAGAGTGATGTTATATATCAAAAAAAGATAATCGTATATTCACGTGACGAATGATGTTTATGTATATGAATCTATTCTAAAATACCTCTTCCCTTTCATTCTAAATATGGAATTAGCGGACAAGAATCGCACAATCTCATTGAGACGTCACTTTCTTCTTCAATTTCGACTTCGCTTTCTTCTTCAATTTTGACTGTAACAATAACTACGAAGCTTATTGTTCTAATCTTCTTCAACTACTAAAAAAAATCCTCAAATCCTTTCTCAGATATGTAGCAATCATTTCTTTGCTTTTTATGTTTTGAAAGCATCTATGCTTATTTTTTAAAAGAAGATCCGACTTTCTTAGAGAAGTGAGAAGAGTCCTCATAGTTGGGGGAAAAAATTATCCTCACGCTTGAAAGATAGAGGAGCACTAGGGGCACACCTTGGGACACACTCCCAACCACACCCCTCACCTGCTACAGTGCAGGGGGGTCCCACTTGAGATTTTTTAAAAAATCTCAAGTGGGACTCCCATGCACTGTAGCAGGTGAGGGGTGTGGTTGGGAGTGTGTCCCAAGGTGTGCCCCTAGTGTTTTTTTGAAAGATAAACAAAAATGCCTCCCGACTAAAAAAACATCATCAATCTACTCCTCTATACTTAAAGAAGAAACCAAAAAGTCATTGTTCATACTACAGTAATGTTGTAGCATAAACAGTAAATCAAATCTTAATTATCATCTATATATACTCGAAGTTACTATTCATGCTGCAACCTCCATACTTGAAGTTAGTATTCATACTATATCATTTTACTGCATTATAAACAGTAAAACAAATCAAATGTATTAACACTTGGATCTTTCTTTAAGTATAGAGGAGTAAATATGATTTCTAAATCAAATGTATTAAAATTTGGGTCTTTCTTTAAGTATAGAGGAGTAGATATGATTTTTAATTCTAAACATACAATAACTAAATCAAATGTATTAAAATTTAGAGCGAGACAAGTTCAAAATACAATGTTTAAAAAAATAGGGGGTCATGCTTTACACGGGGGTGCACACTAGTCATGTAATAAAAGGAAAGCTAACAAAATGTCTATTCTCTTGATATATAATTCTACTATGTCACTCCTCTAGGTTCTCTATAGTAGACTAATACTAGCATCACTTATTTATTGGAATTATTTAAGTTGTGTGCTATTTGGATTATACTTCGACTGTATGTCTAGACTATGTTTTCGGAGTTGAATGGACTCGAAAGAGATTCTTTATTTTTCGGAAATGAGAAAAAAAAAATCCCACAGACAGTAACGTATAAGATCCTGTTAAGCAGTAACATTTGTGGTACGCAGGAGATTGCCACGTCCTTATGTTAAATGGAGCATGGGACCACGCTTCAATCAATTTAATAGCTCAAGTTGTAGCATAAAATGCAGAAGAACGTCAAGTGTGGGCTCTGTCAAAGACTATATATGCATGATTATGATTTACTATGAAAGTGATTACAGAATTTAGAATTAGTTTACGTAGGTACTGTGGTCTTGTAGTCATACTCACCAAACATTTATTTAGCACTTACACAAGCCCTGAAATTTCTTTACGTGCATATATTTTTCTGATAACCCAGCACGGAATCGAAGTCAGGACTGTGGAAGCCATATTAGAAACTTCCAACAGTCAGGGTCAGCCACGTGGGCTACACCCCTAAATTTTAAACGATATTTATTTGACAATTTAGTTTTTTAGTTAAATAGAGAACAAAAATGTAAGTAATTCATGTGATGGTATCTTTCATTTGTAGTTTAAGAAGTGTGAGCACTAATAAATTTGTTTGTGAGACAGCAACGGATAATTAAGAAGAGAACCCAGCTTTTTGCCTCTTTTGATCTTTTGCAGCTATCATCCCATGATTTTTGTTGTGTTTTTTGTTTAGATTGTGTATAGTCATCCTCGTTATCTACTTCTGATTTGGCTTTTTTCTCCGGTTTGGGGCTCCTGTCCAAATCATAATTAGATAACTTCTTATGTAATTTTGGGCTACTTTCAGATATATAATACATACATGATAGGGCTAACTGCCCTATTTTTCATAAAAAAAAAAAAAATTCTTTGTGAGATGGACATATTGCATAAGAAGTACAGGCAATCAGCCCTGAAATCTGTAGCCGTTGGAGAAACTGTACAAGAAACAGAAGAAAGGGTGTTCGACGCTTTTTTGAGGCTAATATGTCAAATGTGTTACACGGACAAAGAATTCAGTAGTCTCCAGGCAATCTCCAAACACAGCGAGGGCACCCACCACACAATAATTGAACAGTGTAAAAGTAGCGTCCGTTGCGGACCAAGGTGGGGACCACAAAAAAAAAATAGAAAGCCACGTGTATCAATCGATCGCAAGCTCCATCGCTTGAAATGAGCTGTTTCCCTTTGTCGACCGGGTGATTAAAATTTCAGCGGTCCTCTAATTTTACAGTTTTAAGCGTATGATTTGCAAAAATAAAAATAAAAAAAAATTGCAGGCCGGCCAAGTTCACAAACGAGTCGGGCTAAAGATCAAAAAGTTTGACTAGTTTATTAAAGTATAAAGGCAGGTTCGGCAAAAGCTTTGACGAAATGGTTTGTTGGCTAGAGATTTAGCTTTATTTGAGATGGAGGAGTGCGCTTGAAGTATGCTCTGATTTTATGCTGGATTCAAAGAAAAGAATCCGTTATTGGTCTGTGCGTGGTTCAAGGAAACGAACCATGTGCCTCTTTATCTTGAGTCCATTGAGGGAGTTCTTGGCTCTAGCACCATGTTTGCTATATCCACTTCCAAACAGTAATTTTGGGAGTGGGTTGCCGAAAATGCCCTTTTGATGTTGAGGGTGTTTCTGGAATGGACTTGGCCTGTTTTGGTTTAGGAGAAGGGCAATTTAGTCCGGGTGTTTCTGGAATGGACTTGGCCTGTTTTGGTTTAGGAGAAGGGCAATTTAGTCCTCACACACCCCCAAAGTTACTGTTTGGTGGACTTGGCCTGTTTTGGTTTAGGAGAAGGGCAATTTAGTCCTCACACACCCCCAAAGTTACTGTTTGGAAGTGTGAATAGTTGGACCCCTCTAGCACTTAGCCTTCAATATTTATTCAATTTCCATTGTATCTTTATCCCAAGCCTATCAATCTCAATCTCATCTGAATAAATGGTCTTGCGTCTGAATAAATTACATCAAATGCTTTTCAAGCACTAGAACTTTATACTCGAAGACATCAAGGTAAGAACCTACTTATACCAATGCATAAGTTGCTATCCAGATTATTTTCTGTGTTCTATTTCAAGATTATGCACTAAGTTGTAGACACTCGCATCGAGGATCATAATCAGTTTTCTAATTAATGTATGCTATGTGACAACAAAATTTAAACAGGGATCACGAACATCAACGTGCATAAATATTAAGAGAAAAAAAGTAATTAAAGTACATAAAATTGATGGAATAGATGAGATGCGTTATCCTAGATACCAAAAACTGACGTATTATTCTCGATGCCAACCACCAAATTAGGTATTAGGATATTAAGATGAAAAGATGCTTTGAGGAGACTAGAGGATTTGAATCAATCTCCAACTTGTTTATGTAAATCAGGCCTTGTTTTGTTTAAGAATCTTCGGATGTTGATCCTAATTATTAAAACATTAGGTAACAAATAATACAAGATTTTCATAACACGACGGAATTAACCAACGCGCTGTATTTGTGCAAGTTTTGACCAATATCCAACCAAGCGTGTCATTCTCGCTCAATTTTGCACGTATGTACGTCGGAGGTCAAGATTTGTCTAATCTGATGTAATCTTCCCACCCAAACTCCTTGGAAGCTCTGATGCTCAACTTCGGTTATAAAATTGAGTGATCTATAACACTGAACCAAGATGCGCATTCTCATTGACATTACTAGGGGAAGCTAATATATCTTAATGCATATAACCAGATCTGTCTCAAGAGTAAATAAATTACATAAGTTTTTATTTTCGTTTTTGCTTTTTTTTGTTTTCTTTGTTTTTTTTTGGTTTTCTTTGTTTTTTTTAGGGGGTGGGGGATGACATGTTGACTTGGGGGCTATTTGGTTTAAATGCTACAATTTGAGAATTTGTAATCTTATAGAGAATTTGAAATTATTAGTGTTTTATATATGCTTTGGGAATTCTAATATTTTCTTTGGTTTAACATTATTATAGGAAAGCAAATCTTACAATTTGTAATATCTTATTTGATTCAAACCCAAATTATAGGATAACAAATTCTAAAAAAGAAGAAGAGGTAAATATAGTAAAGGGTTGTTTGGTTCAAATCCTAAAATTATAGGATTTGGAATCTCATCAAGAATTTGAAATCCATGTGGTTTTAACATATTTTGGATTTCCGGATCTTATATTTTGTTCAACGTGATTAGAGGAAAGCAAATTCTAGAAATTATAATTTATTA